TTGCCTTCGTCAAAAAGAAGTTGGCTTTTGGAGAGATACTTAGCCAAATTCAACGTTGTTAAATAAAACAACATTTTTTGTTGCCAACGTTTAAAATTGTGACTGTTGAATTTGCTAGGTTTCTCCCCGTGAGAAGAACTGATCGGGGCAATAGTGAACGGGGATGATTTTGGAAAAGTAATGCCTGACTCATCTCACATTATGTTTACACAAAACAGACAGAACAGAAATGAGAGATATTCTAACCAATGCGAAAAGAACAAACAAGGTGGGAAAAATCCCTTCTTTTGGCCGTAAGAAACCCATAAACTATAAAAGTATGTTGCCCTAATTTTGATTAAGTGAAAGTAAAAATGAGATTGGAAAATAGTATGGAGTATGTATGTATGTGTCAAGTTCTAAACATCATTTTTGTTATTCTCCAGAAAGTCACTTTCTCCAGAAAGTCTTGGAAAATGAGATTGGAAAATAGTTTTCATCCTATGTTTCGAGTATGGCTGGAAACCAAGATTTTTGAGTAGTCTGTCTCCGGTACCCGATCGGGTATAACACAATACTCGATCGGGTATGTGTCTTTTTCCATGTTTTGAGGCATGTACTCGATCGAGTGTGGGAGTCAGCTTTCTTTAACCTTAGCCTTTCTGTACATACCCGACCGAGTATATAGTGATACCCGATCGGGTATCCCTTGTTTTTCGATTCTCGAGCCATGTACTCGATCGAATGTGGGCATCAGTTTCCCTTGAACTTCAACTTTTTGTACATACTCGACCGGGTATGTAGTGATACCCGATCAGGTATGCATGCTTCCTTTCAAAAATCAACACTCCTCGATCGAGTAATGCCCGGTTCTCCTTCTTTTGGCCATACCCGACCGAGTATAAGGTGGTACTCGATCGGGTATGTCCCCAGATGCTTCAAAACCTGCATTTTTTCTTCTTTTCCTCCAAAAACCCGTGATTAGTTCCCTCTCTCACTGATCTCTCAAATAATTAAAAAAAATGAATTTTAAACACTCGAATTTACGAAAAAGTTAACTTAGGTTGCCTCCCAAGAAGCGCCTTAGTTAACGTCGTGGCACGACGTTATTCATTTTTTTTGAAGTGGGATCGTGAACATCCCTTGTTTCATTTTTTGTGGCTTTATTTAGCCATTTTTCAATTTTATTTTTTGGTCTTTTCCAGTAAGGCCGGGATTTCTTTCTCATTACCACCTCCATCATAGGTGGATTTAGTTCACATTTTAACACATCCCTTTCTATCAAAGATGACTTCTCGTGTTTATTTTTTCCTTCTTTAAAAAATCTGATTTTATCCGCTTCTTTGAAAAATACCGGTTCTTGTGGTTCAACAACATTTAAAGAACAAAGAGTTAGATTTTGCATTCGTTTTTTCGTAAAGTCCAAGATGTTGAATTCTACTTTTTGGTCATCGAACTCTAAAGTTAATGAACCACTAGAAACGTCAATTTTTGTTTTTGCGGTCTTCATGAAGGGTCTACCCAAAAGGATGAGTGTTGTTTGATCATCAGTTCCTATTTCAAGGACATAGAAGTCAACGGGAAAACCATATTTTCTACTTCTACTAGCACATCTTCTATTACACCCTTCGGGTAAGTACTAGAATGATCTGCTAGTTGAATCACTACACCGGTTTGATGTAATGGGCCAAGTTCTAGAGATTTATAAACAGAATAGGGGATGACATTTATTGATGCCCCTAAATCCAACAAGGCCTTAGGAAATGTGGTGTCTCCTATTTTGTAAGGGATAGTGAACATGTCTGGGTCGTTACATTTTTCGGGGAGTTTTCTCTAAAAAATGGCCGAAACGCGTTCACTAACTCTAACCTCTTGTTTCCCCTTCAATTTATCTTTTCTTTTTGTTTTGCATAATTCTTTTAAAAATTTAGCACAACGAGGGACATTTTTCATTAAGTTAAGAAGCGGAATGTTTACCTCACACTTTGCGAAAGTTTCATAGATGTCAGCATCTTTCTCTAGCTTCTTTGTTTCCCTCAGCGCCTCAGGAAACGGGATTACTGGTTCATATGATGAGAGTGGAGGGAGCTTGGTTTCTGTGATCCCCTCCTCCGGCGGGACTACTTTTTAAGGGTCTACCCCCTCAATCTCTCTATCGTTCTTATCTACCTCTTTCAACGTCGCCTCACTTCTCAACATGATAGCATTCACATGTTGTCTCGGATTTTGCTCCGTTTGAGATGGGAGTTTACCCGAGTCCTTCGTTTCAAGTCGGTTCACGGCATTCGCAATTTGACTCACTTGGCTTTCCAAATTCTGAATGCTAGACTTGGTCTCATGCTGAAATCGAACCATGTTTTGTTGCATGGTTGAAACATTTGAGGTGAGTGCTCGGATCATGTCTTCCGTGGACATACTTGAGCTTGACGTTTGGCCTTGGTGATTTGGGAAAGTTTGTTGCAAGGGCTGACTTTGAGGGTTCCCATATCTCAAGTTCGGGTGATCTCTCCACCCGGGATTGTAGGAGTTAGAGTGCGGGTCATACCTCTTTTGGCCTTGAAACCCCAAAACATTGACTTGCTCGGAATTATCTTCTTGTAGCGTTGGGCAGGAATCAGTGGGGTGCCCCTGTGTTGAGCATATGCCGCAGACTTTGACTTCTTGGTGTTTTGGATTTAAAAGGAAATCTTTTACCGAAGAAGTCAAGCCGGCCACTTGACTTTCCAACGAGTTGTTGGATTCCGCTGCCATGACTCGTTTTGATGATGACCTCCCATTGTAGTGTCTAGAATTCTCGGCCAACTCCGAGATGAGATTCCTAGCTTGGGAAGGGGTTTTGTTGACAATTCCCCCTCCAAATGCTGCGTTTACCAAACGTCTATCTTGCTCTGCAAGACCGTCATAGAAGTAGAGGATGAGGTCTTGCTCTGTGTAACCATGGTATGGGCAACTAGCACACAATTTTTTAAAACACTCCCAATATTCATATAATGTCTCATCATCTTTTTGCTCGATGTTGCTTATTTGTTTTTTCAAAGATGATGAGACGGATGCAGGGTAGTACCTTTCTAGGAAGCATTTTTTCATTGACGCCCATGTATCTATACTCCCTGAAGGGAGATAGAATAACCAATCCTTAGCCGTGTCTTTGAGGGAAAATGGAAAAGCCCTCAACTTGATTTGCTCCTCGGTGACTCCATTTGGGCACATGCTTGTGCAAACAATATGGAATTCCAAGAGATGTTTGTTTGGATCCTCGCCTTGTAGACCATGGAATGAAGGAAGTAAATGGATGAGCCCCGATTTGAGCTCAAATGTGGCACCTTCATCAAGAGTAGGGAAGGTGATACATAGCGGTTGTTGGTTGAGGTCTGGAGCTGTGAGCTCCCTCAATGTTCTCGTTTCGAGAGCCATGTGAAAAGACTCTTCGGATTCGCTAGAACTGGAGCTAGCGGTGTATGAGTCTCTGGTAGATGATTCTTCCGAGTCGGTATTAGAAAATTTACTTTTCAACCGCTCGAAAGTTTGTTCTATTTCTGGGTTTTTGTGATATGTGATTTCGTTTATGGAACGATGTTTAACCATAAACTCCACTAAGCTCAGAAAAATAGAAGAATAAGAACTCTTTATATTTTATTTATTATTTTTTTTATTTTTTCTTGAAATGAAATAAAAGAAAAATTATTTGCCTGTCCCCGGCAACGGCGCCAAATTTGACGTGCACTTGTCGTGAGGTGCACTCAAAATAATTTATCAATACAACACTAATACGTAGTATAGCGAAGTAAGGTTCGTATCCACAGGGAAATGAATACTTTTCTTCTATATAAGTAGTAACAATGGGAGTTTAGATTTGTTTGATTTAAAAATACTAAGATGAACGACTTATGTGGGTTAATTAATAGAGACGAGGACTTGGTTTTGCTTTTATCCGCTTAATGAAATGTTCGTCGATCCCGGTTATATCTTTAACTATCTTCCTCGAGTACTCGATCGGGTATATACATGGTACCCGATCGAGTATGTGTGTAATACCAGATTCGAGGTATACTCGATCGGTTTTAGGCTATGTTTCAAAGGTATATTCGAAACATACTCGGTCGAGTATGTGTAGAAAGTGATATTCGAGCCATACTGGACCGATTTTACATTTAAACTCAAAGGCATACCCGATCGGGTATGTCGGTCTACCCGATCGGGTATAGACACTCAATCGTGGCCGAAATCTTCTCGGCATGTTCCCTTGTCTTCGGATCTGATCCGATTTGAAGTTTCAACCTAATACCCGATCGAGGATAGGTGATACTCAACCGAGTATAGACCAAAGTTTCAGGATCCTTCTTTCTTTTTTATTTTTGCACTTCCTTCCACTTTTGGGGTTCACCAATTGTCCTTTGAGTGATCAAGACCTGTTTGAGCTCAGAATATACCTAATCTAAACTATTTACAAGAATTTAACAAACTAAACTATTACACCAAAAGTGTGTAATTTCCAAAGTAAAGATCAAGCAAAACTGATTAAAAACACAAACATACATATGGAAATTACAAACGTATCACCAACGTTTAAAATCATGACCGTTGAATTTGCTAGGTTTCTCCCCGTGAGAAGAACTGATCGGGGCAATAGTGAACGGGGATGATTTTGGAAAAGTAATGCCTGACTCATCTCACATTATGTTTACACAAAACAGACAGAACAGAAATGAGAGATATTCTAACCAATGCGAAAAGAACAAACAAGGTGGAAAAAATCCCTTCTTTTGGCCGTAAGAAACCCATAAACTATAAAAGTATGTTGCCCTAATTTTAATTAAGTGAAAGTAAAAATGAGATATTGGAAAATAGTATGGAGTATGTTATTCTCCAAAAAGTCACTTTTTTGTTAGAAGTTTATTATCATGTGCGAGTGTCATGCTTTACTAATCTTCTTTATATTTTCTTTCAAAAAAAAAAGGATAAATGGATTTTCTCTAGCAATACTAAACATTAAAGATCAAACACAGTTTTTTTAACTTGTTTCTTGCTGTAAAATGACATTGACGTTAAAAAACAAAAAGAGAAGAAACAAGGGCAAAACAAAATCAACCAAGAATTAATATATTTTAGTTTCTCAAATTTTCACAAATGAGAATTCAAATGAAAACCATGAGCACTTAGGGCTACATGCAATCAATACTATACCAGATATAATATCCATTTTACAATTTACCACAACCACAATCACAGAGTTCTTATTCCAACAAAGCAAGTAAACTTGACTCCCATCTCCCCATCATTTCACCCTTGTTACTCCTGAGCCAAAGGAACCCTTTCCGCCTGAGGCATCATTATAAAAAAATAGAATTAGTGTACGAAGTAATGTATCCTTTGGTAAGATGTAATGCAATACAATGGGATCATATGTTGTAGTATAGCTTTACATTAAAATAAATGTGGACAAAGACAATAAACTTGGAAAGAATGAAAATTTAAGGAATACTCCCTAATAGAGTAATAAACTAGTTCCAGCTCAAAAAGTCAATCAAGAATTAAGACATTTGTTCATACTCATACTTTGAAAAGCTTTAATCAAGTGTGATCCTACTAAATAAGCTTGATGCAAAACCAAACATAAAAACGAACTGTTTTTTCTTAGCATGTACTATATTTCCCTTTGTATAACATTTTCTGTGTTCCAAACATAGCCTAGAAAACGAGAAAAGAGGGTAGGAGACTAACCATCTTTCGGTAATTGAGAGCGTAAAACATTTCAATGTAGCGACGAGTCTCAAGGCGATCAAGCTTGGAAACATGTTTCCAGAACGCATATACAGTAGAGAGTGTCAATAGCCTTTCTGAGTAGATTTCCCAAGTGTACCTAATTAACAGGGTGAAAGCAAAAACAAATTATTCAAAATGTGTTTAGTATTAACTTAAAAATTAATAGCAGAACAACTTATGATGATGAATAGCTACTTACTTCTCCTGGATACGCTTAAGGCCTCCAGCAGAAATGATCTCCCAATGAGAAGGATCCTTCTTACACTTCTCAAAGAAATCAACAAGCAGTTGAGCAGCCTGATCACCATGGTATGGATCAATGTGGAAACCAGATTTCCCATGGATGATGATCTCGGCTGGCCCACCATGGTTGGTTGCAAAGGTAGGCAGCCCACAAGTCATGGCCTCAACAACTGTCAGCCCAAAAGCCTCATAGAAAGCGGGCTGCACGAAAGCCCCTCTAGTATCACAAATGTATCTGTACAGCTCACCGTTCCTCACACGGTTCATCTGTGAAGAGATCCATCTGAACTGTCCGTTCAAATTGTGCGTCTTTATGAGCTCATACATCTTTTTCATCTCTGCTTGCTCCTCCAAATCTTTAGATTCCTTCCTCCTGTCCCCACCAACCACAACAAGATTAACTAACTCTCTCAGCTTTGGGTTCTTGGCATACCATTCCACAAGACCTGTGAGGTTCTTCACACGATCCAATCTAGCCATGGTGAATAGGATGGGCTTCTTCCTATCCTTGAGCACACATCTGCACATATGCTTATAAATTAAATTTAAATCTTTTTATACTTAATGTCGAGTTTATAAAAGTAATATTTTGGTAGAATAAAAATATGATTAAAAAAAATAATGGACACAAATGTGATTTCTAACACAGTGACAAACTGACAATAATGGTATTTTCAAAGTCACTGCAATAGTTATGGTACTATGGCGGTAATTCTACAGCCACTGCAGTGACAATGTGGTCCTACTTAAGTTTGCATATTCTATTTTAATAATATTATAGAAGCCCCCATCCCACCTCCACCCCTTCAGAAAACATCATAACTTCTTATTCATTGTTGAGTATTTAGATGAATATATTTAGTACTAAGGAAACTTACAGGTGTTCTTCATTCTCAACATTGCTAAATAGGAGATCTTCGATTTCAGGATGAAGGGTTGTTAGTCTCCTTTCCTTTTCTGTGTAGGGGAAATATAGGTTCATATCAGCTCCTGGAGAGACAATGTTGAATTTGGGGTCAAACACATCTATGCCATGAACAACTCTGTACAATCCAGGCATTGTGAATGCCATGTGGCTTTCATACTGTCCAACACTGTCCTTGCTGGAAAAGCAACACGAAAAAAAATAAGAATTAGGGGGTGTTTTGATTTGATTCTTAAAACTTCTTCTGCTCCTTCAGGGAGCAGAAGCAGAAGTTGGAGTGTTTGGGTAAAAGTGCAGAAGTGATTCTGGTGCTCTAATTTACTCCTAGAATCAGTTTTTTCAGAAGCTGGGGGTGACCAGCTTCTGAAAACTGATTCTGATTCTGCTTTTTCTTTAAAAAAGAAGCAGAATCAGAATCGGTTCCAAACACCCCCTTAGTGTCCATAATCATATCCAATCTCAACTACAAAAAAAAGCAAGAAAGAAATAAATAAAGAAAAAAAGAAAGAAGTGGACTGATATATACAAATCACCTTCCAGCAATCTCTTGGAAGGTGCTGGTGATGATGAAGTCGGTATGATTCATCGCGATGAGATCAGCAGTGAACTGGGACGAGAAGTGATATTTCTCATCAAACTTTTTCCAATAAAGATCTGAATCTGGATATTTTGTCTTCTCCAATGCATGAGCAATTGTGCACTGCCCAACAAAAACCGCACAAATTATAATGTTGACCCCCAAACATATATTATTGTAAAGGTAAGAATAATACGGAGTAATAATAATAATAGTAATATTGTAATAGTAATAATAATATTAATAATGTTTCAGGAGTAACAAACAACATCTTCACCTGTGTAACACCTAGCTTGTGAGCCAGTATGGAGGCAGCAAGGTTACCCTCACTGTAATTCCCTATGATCAAATCTGGTTTGGTCTGCAACTCGTCTGTAATTTCTTTTGCAACATCCTAACGCAGTAAATCCAGAAAATTTAGTAAACAATAACAATGTTGATGTATTAATAAATAAATACATTTGATTTTTACCTCAATGAAAGTTTCCATGTATGGCCAGACTTCGAAACGAGAGATCCATTTTCGCACAACACCCTCCTCAGTCCTAAAGGGGACTCTCAGAATGTGCGAGTATTCAGCTCCAAAAACTTTCTCTAGCCGCTGTCCACAAGTGGTACCCACCGCATCTGGAAGAAACCTAGTTATCTGGCAAACAACATAACCAATTCTATATTTTATTATCAAGAAACATAAAAAGAACTCAAATTCTCTTCACTAAGTAAAAAACATCTTTACAATGAGGATTCTTGGCTTAATATCAAGTCCTTGCTCTTTAATCCGTTTAAGCATCTCCCTCTCTAACGCGGGAACTTGATCCAAAATGTAAACAACCTGTAAAAATTAAGTGCATACAAGAAGAACTCATTACCGATTACCCCACCATCCTATACACACTACGAGTAGTTTAAAGAGAAAGTTCTTACAAAGAAAATAAACCACATTTCTTTAAAAAGGATAAACCACATTTCTTTAAATAAGTAATATTTTTATGATAACACATTGTTACTCCTATTTATGCATATGACCGGCGTTTGCAGTAATTTCTTTACTTCAAAATCAAGAATCACCTGGCCACCAGTGTCAGGATATCCCAAAACATTTTCCTGGGCAAAATAACCGTGGGGCGAAAGAATAACAATGTTGAAAACCATGGGAATTTTCCCCAAGAACCTCTCCAGTGTGCATGAATCGGGAGCCTCCAGAAGATCCAAAAGCATTCCGATCATCTCCAAGACACGTTCCGCGTTGTCACCCCAACCTTTCTCCAACCCGATTTCTTGAAACTTGTTTTCAAACTCAGAGAATGGAGTTTTTAGAGAAAGTGTAGATAAATACTCCTCTGCCTTTCTAAGGACACTTTGGAGAGTTTTTAGGTCCTTGATTCTTTCATTTAGCATCATCGTCTGCACGATGAACAATGTTTCAAAATCCAATTGAAGTTGAATTACAAAAACTTGAGGAAAAGAAAGAACAAAAACTAATGAATTACCTTGCCATTGAATTCATGAAGTCTGAGAAAATCAAGGAGAGGAGTGATGCTTTCCTTGTTATGGAACATTTTTGCAGAAAGGTGTCTGTTTAGGAATTCAACTCCATTGCCAATGGACTTGGTAAGAGTTGGCTTGGGAAAAGAAGCATTGAATGGCTCAAAATCCAATTCAAGAACAAGTTTACCATTAGCCCTGGGTGACATCACCAAAAAATTATAACTTCATGATTGATTAGTAAAGAAACAACAAGTAACATAATAATAAAAGCAATTATAACAGCACAAAAGATAAAAAGAACTTACGGTCCATCAACAAGCTCTTCTTTTAATTGAAGATACTCAGGAACAGTCATCTCCTCCACACCTGAAGCATTAACATTGACGCGAACATATTCCCACACACCGGGCCTCAAACGGATAGCCAGTGCAACCCATGGAGACAAAACTATTGCTTCCTAATCATAATCCGAACCCATTAGATAGAACATCAGATACATATATATGTAACATAATAAAGAAAGTATTTTGTCATATATTGTTATTATAAATAATACTCTGTATTTATTATAAGAGATAATTTCATAAATAAGATTAGAAGATTGTAAGTTTCTTTAAATAACACTCCATACTATCATTCTCTTTTTTTTTGGTAGGTTATTAAGATTGTCATAAACAAACTGCATAAAAGCATAAGTAGACATACTACGTATTAGATAAGAAGCAGTATAATGCCACAAACAACATGACGAAATTAATGCATCTCCCATCTCTACAGCTTGGGATTGGTTCATGGATTAACCTTTGGAGCCCACCCGGCAATAATATACTCATCTTTTGGGGGCTTGGTTTTCTGGAAAGAGTTCCTTGCAAAGACCAACTTCAAATAATTATGCACATGAACCAAGTCCTCTGGAACGCTTCATTTCTGGGTGCTAAACTCAAATCAGCAGAGCTGATTTTCTCCCCATTGACAAATGGTCCGTTTTTGTTAAGATGTCCATCAAATGCCTTCAGTTCTTCAACCAGAGACTGCTCTGTACCATCATTGGGATCGTTGCTTTTCAAAAAAGCAACAAAAGTAGGGAATATCTTAGAACCAACTGATGCAAATTCAGAGGGAGTTGCAAGTGGTGGTTCTGGGTATTTCCCTTCAATAATCCCAACAATTACATCAGAATCAGCAATCCATTTTCCATCAAATTTGATAAGTGGAACCTTCCCTTCCGGAATTATCTCCAAGAACCACTGCGGCTTGTCAGTAGTGTTGATAAGAATTTTTCGGTAAGGGATATTCTTTTTCTCGAGGGTAAGAGCTACTCGCTGACTAAATGGACAGTCTCCAAGATCATCTGGAGCGCCAATAGCAGCCTTGACACAAAGTTCCAAAGCCATGGTACACTAGAGGAAATGCTCAGCAGCTAAATTAAAGAAATTCACTCCATACTATCATTCTTTTTAACAGAAAATGTGACTCATTCACTCCTAAGAGAATCAATTAAGTCCTACTTTTGAACAAAACAATGATGCTCCTGCTCGAAGTAATTGGTTTGAATGGAAATTTCTATAACTAGGACCAGACTCACTTGTGTGGATTTCAAAACTTCTAGAAAGGGATGTCCACTCAGTTTGCCTTTGTCATCCTTGAAGATCGCCTCAAACTCAGCCACAAGTTGGTGAGGCTTCAAGATTCCTTTCCCATGGCTCTCAATCCTGTAACAAGAAAATCCAAACATTAATCATGATCATTAAAAGTATGTGTGTGTAAATGACAACTATCAGTTTTTAAATCTCAACTAGTCCAAGAAGGCAAGAACACAAAATTTATTCCTACTTTGATATGAACAGCAAAATGTCATCGCGATGAGCAGCTAAAGTAACATCAAGACGCTCACGAAGGCCATGAACACGGGTCAGAACAGCCTCAGCCATTACAGATGATTATGATGTACCAAGCTAACAAAGTCTCAGGGGAGTTCTAGAATCAACTACAAGATAAAAAAAGAGTTAGTCATTGATTGTGAGGAATTTATGATCCTTCGTACAAATAATATATAATGTTGATTTTCCCAACCAAACAACATTAGAAAAAGTATAAGACAAAACTTTGAACGTTATAAGCCTCATCTTAGAAGCAACTACTACGCAGAAAACAAGAATAAGAAGAAAATGGGTCAAACGGATAACACAGAACTTTAGTACCTAAGCAAGAAGAAAACAGAGCGCTTAAGAGAGGAAGACCTGATTACTACATATAAAAATGCTTGAAATATATAGAGAGGATCATGCCAGAAGAACCAGAAAATCAGACCACAAATATGCCTCACGCCAAAATTAAATATGGAATTTTCTTGGGGGAAAAGCTCTCCATTTATAGTTACTCCGAAAAATCCGCTATGGGAATTAATGTTAAGGTGTCCTCCCCTGACAGCATTCATTTAAGCACATGGTAAAAAATCAAAATGTGATTTTGATGGTGATCGTGGCTGTTCTTTAAAGAAGAATGAGGAGAATGGGGTTTTACCTTACTGACAGTAGAATGAACATAAAAATGAAATGATTAAGAATAACAGAGAGCGCAAAGAAATGAAGATAAAATGAAATCGTTGAGCCTGGAGAGGCCCACTTATATATGAACAAAAAAAAGAAACAGTCTTTAATCGATAGTCTTTGTAGATCTGATGGGACATGGTTTTTCTTATTTCCTTCCTGTAATGTAAGAAAACACAAGAGGCTAATGATGGTCATTGCCCTTTGGTTAAAATTGTCAAAAAAGAGCTCACAGATGATCATGATCATTTGTTCTTGCATTCATTCAACCTCAAAGACATTCTACCCTTTTGCTTGATTTTTACTTAGCGTAAACTGTCATAAAGTCAAATAAAAAAAACCTCCTTTTTACCCTAATGTGTTCCATAATTATAATTACCTCTTTATCCAGAAAAGAACTAAAGAAGTTTGTCTTTACTTTCTCATCGTTAGGGAAAGTTTTTTATTGAAAATATGATTTATAAGGAGTATTTGTGTTTGTCATTATAAATGAATCATATAATAAACCATATAATGATAATTATAATTAATGGTATTAAGCCTCTAATAATAATAATTAATGATATTAAGCCTCTAATTATATCTCTCCTATAATAATTTTAACACGAGGGGGTTGATGAATTTTTCCTGGACCAATGTACGAATGTATAATTAAAAGGATTGAGAAAAAAAAGAACATGAGTGGAGAACCGATTAAATGTGTATATATAATTGAATATAAGGAATACGATTAAATTGAAAGAGAAATTTAATACAATTAAAAGGAAAAGAAACTTAATATCATTGATTATTACTCCCTCCGTCCCATAAAATAGTACCCGTTTTCCTTTTTGGGACATCCCAAAAAATATTTCATATTTCCCTTTTTGGAAAGTTTTGTGTGACTACCATTCATTTACCTTTTTCTTACTAAACAACCACAATCATACATTTCCATTTTATTCTCACCTTTTAAACTACGATCCAAATTCAAATGGGTACAATTTTATGGGACGGAGAGAGTATTATTAGAGGCTTAATACCATTAATTATAATTATCATTATATGGTTTATCATTATAAACTTAAAAGAAACTTAATACCATTAATTGTAATTATATGGTTTATAATTAGGAGAGAGAAGCGGGAAATTTTAGGGAGGTGGATTCTCCCTTTATGTATATAGGATTTGAAGATTTTGCCAACTTAATGGCAGATTTGGTAAAAAAATTGGCAACATAATGGCATCGATGGTGATGACGCTAGGATTTGCGATGGTGGTGGCCAATGAAGGGTGGCTGGTGGAGGGTGGCGGCGGCGGCTGATTGTGGGTGGAAGCGGCAGTTTTCGTACAAGACGACGGCAGCCCACTACCGTAGCTAGGGCTTTAAAAAAATTATTATTAGATTTTAATTGTAAATATATTTAGAATTAATGGTAATTTTGTCAAACCGATGTATTTTTAGTCCTATTAAACATGTAAGTCATATTTTTGCATTTCTTCATTATTTTAGTCCTATTTAGGGAATTATGATCGTGAGTAATAAACAATATACTCTACCATATATGCATATATCTATTGGCTTGGCATGTAAGTTCTAAAAGACAAACAATGATTTAAGTAAAGAAATTCCAAATGTGTGAGTAGATACGTGAATTTAATAGGAATCAGGAGTAATGAACATTATACTACGTACTTCGTACCATATATGCATATCAACACTTTAACTAACAACGTCATGGTAACTAAAAGCTGCAATTTAGATAGAAGGATATCAACACTTATACAAGACGATATTTGTAAGGATGTTTTTACTTGGACTATAATTTGCTGGTCAAGTTTGGTTTGGTCTGGTCTGGTCTGAACTGGTCTGGTATGGTCTGATTTCTTTGTATTTTTATAACTATACAAGTCTGGTCTGATCTAAATTGGTCTAGTCTGATCTGGTCTGAGAAGAATTACAACCCAAGTAAAAGCATCCTAATATCACCTACTAAACAAAAATGTCTTTATCTTTCATGAATATCAATTACTGTTACTAAACAATCATTCAGAAGACTCTCACCTCGTGTACGTACTACGTACTATCGGCTTATTATTTTAGAGTCAATATTAGCTACCTTACATTACAACCTCGTATGGTAGCTAATAGTGACTCCGAATTAATTAGCCCATTGTATATGCATGTATATGAGCATATGAGTCACTAATCATTTATTTTATAATTGTAAGTGATATTCACGAAAGATAGTGATAGTTTAGTTAGTTACTTGATGTGTTATAGTGACTACAATATTAATGGGGTGATTGGTTAAGCGCCTATCAGCCAATTTTTGGCTGATTTGACTATTATTAGCCTTTTGACCAGATAAAACAGCTAATTGACGTGTTTGGTAAAACAACTTTTTCATTTGTCTTTTCGTCTTAAACAACCAAAAATCAAAATGTCAAAAACATCAGCGTTTAAGACTGGCCGGCGCTCATATTTTTCCCTGTTTTTCCCATCTACCCACTGCCCCACATAAATCGAAATCTTTCTCTTTGCACCATATTTTCCATTACTACTTCGTATTTTTTTATTCTTCTTTTTTATACCTGCTATATAGCACTACGTACACATGGAGTACTCTTTTAATTCTTCTCTATCGAACTAATGATTGATTTTCTACCCTAAATGCCCCTAAAAATTAATCAAATGTTTCAATTCATAATAAAATCATAAAAAAATTAAAAATATCTTAAAAAATAAAAAAGAATAATAAAAAACAGTAAAAAGTAATAAAACAATTATAAATATTTATAATATAAATATTATTACAAAATATTTTTTTTTATTTTTTTAAAAAGTAAAGAATAAAAAAACCCATAAAAATATGGATACCTTTCTCATCGCCTCACAGCACCACCACCTCCGATTGATGAAAAAATGTCATTTTTGTAAATAAAATATGCCATTTTTTTTGGAAATGTCATTTTTGTAAAAAAAAATGCCATTTTTTCTGAAAATGTCAAGAGAATAGCATTAATGTTGTTGATAATGTCAAAACGCGCGTTCATTGAATCAACCATTATTATGGCATTACTAAAAATGTTGGCATTTTTCCTCAGGTGATCGGAGTTGGTGTTGCTTGGGGTGGCAAAGGCGGCGGCGTTTTGTTTTCACGTTTTAATTTCTTTATCTTTTTTTTTTTTTCAAATTTTTATTGTAAAAATATTTTATTAATTTTTATTATTTTTTCAATTTTAATTATTTTTACAATTTTATTATGAAATAAAATATTTCAAAAGGTACAAGATGATAAAATTCAACAAAGAAATATTAAAATGTTGTAACGTTTAGCGCCATTTTTCTACGCTATGCCGCATCCCCGCCTTGCTGCGATCAAAGTCTCATTCAGTAGTTTTGGGGACACCTTTATCGAAATTTCTACCAATTTATATCAAAATTTCCCCAATTTGTAAATGTCAAAGTTGATAACTAAAAGGTGTAGAATTGCAGAAAAGTGAACGCTCACACGCCTTCATTCTAGAGCTCTATTAAGAGTTGAGTTCGAGTTCGTTTGGTAACACTCAAATCGGTTGTGTCGGTTCATTCTGCTTAAACTTATGAAGTTTTGGATGCAGTGACTATATTAGTTGATTTTACTGATTTTTGGAAAAAATATATTTTATTAATAAAAATTAAGAAAAAATTATATGAAAAAATAGCTAAATTGGTCTTCTACAATAAATTCAACCAATATAGTCAGAAAAGTAACTTCAACCTTACCTTTTCTTATTATTAAACAATTCATTACGCGAAATCAAAAGTTACGTGTTTGGTTAAATAGTTGACTGATAATCCGAAAAACAGACTCACCAAACGGGCTCTTCGTCTCATGTTTTAGAAAACATTTGTGGTTTTCAAAAATGAAGGTGTTTTATATTAGGAAAACTTAGGCAGCAAGTCGGTGAAGCCGATAGACGATCCGATCTTCTAACCTTTTTCTCAAAAATTAACAAGAGTTTTCAACGATGGTGACGTACTGACGTTCTCTAGGCAGTAACGAACGTTTTATATGATTCTGCTCTTTTTCTATTTCTACCTTCTAGAGCTTTAGTTTTGGGTCAACTTATTTTTCGGCCAAGACTTATATCCGCTTCAAGTGAGCATGAAATTTACTATTCTCCTAGCAATGCCTAGAGATTGTGTGTTCCTCGTCGGTATAACCGGCCGTGTGACGAATTTTCATTATTCATGTTTGGCTAGACATGTTCAACCCAGATCTTCTGAAATTTTAACTATTCGGACTCCTCCTGAACCACCGCCTCACTATTAGAGAAAGTTAGTGCTCAAGTGAATCTTTTTCATTGGCAGGTCAAACCGTTGGTTCGCTCAGTTTCTATTCGGTCGATATTCCTTTGTTGGTTACTGGTCAAATGGGGCGGAGGATCGGATGTACACAATGTTAAATGATAAGACTGATAAGCTGAAAAATAAGGGATATCAAATTGATTCTATTTTTTGAAACACATATATATTTATAATAAAAATGATCAAAACAAATGCAATTCCGATAGCCTAAGACTACAATGAGTAAAACATAAAACTGAAAAGTTTCATATGAATATAGTAATTTGATAATCCCGCAAAGATTTGGACTCTTCTGTCAATATTGAAACTGCTGCTACTTAACCAATAGTCAAAACAAGTAAAATACTAATGTGATCGAAAACAAACATCTAAATCGATTTCAAGATCCACCGACAAGGAAGTAATAGAAAGTTTGGTATGTCCAACCACCAAAAAGAAATAATCTTTTATTATACAAAGCCAAAAGAAAAAATGAACAGTGTTCCCGCCCAAATGCAGTGCACTGTTGGGTCGGGTCGGGTCACTATGGGTGCACAAACGGGTCCTGGGCAGGTCCACTGATGCTCTTTAATGCTTGCCACTAAAATAGTACAGAGCCACACAAACATTTAATGTGAAATCTGATGTGATGATTAAAAAATGAAGTAAATTGTACTTCAAATCTTAAAAGTAAACCTTGAGCCGCACAAACATTTAATGCATTGTACAATCTTGGCATAACAATATTAATTTATACATTGTACTTGATAGTTCTGAACAATAAATGGAGCCACACAAACATTTCTTGAGCCTCACAACAATAAATGCAATGTACTACATAATCTCAATGTAAAAATTGAGTGGGTATTTGTACTTGATAGTTCTGAATTGGAGCCACCCAAACATTTCTTGAGCCTCACAAACAATAAATGCAATGTACTACATAATCTCAATGTAAAGATTGAGTGGGTATTTTTAACCCTTGGTTAACCCAATTGATTAACCTTATAATTAATGCATTGTACTACAAATCTTAATATTGAGATTGTGTGGTATTTTCAACCTAGGTTATTCTCTCCTTTATCCAATATAAATACCCAAGCAGGGGATGACCACAACATACCACAAACCAGTATTCAGCAGCTGTATTTTTAAGTTCAAAAGTTCAAAATCAGTGCAATGGCAACCGCTTCATCAGCACAAGGGATGTGGTCCTTGCTCAAGGATATCGATACCACAAACATTTAATGTGAAATCTGATGTGATGATTAAAAAATGAAGTAAATTGTACTTCAAATCTTAAAAGTAAACCTTGAGCCACACAAACATTTAATGCATTGTACAATCTTGGCATAACAATATTAATTTATACATTGTACTTGATAGTTCTGAACAATAAATGGAGCCACACAAACATTTCTTGAGCCTCACAACAATAAATGCAATGTACTACATAATCTCAATGTAAAAATTGAGTGGGTATTTGTACTTGATAGTTCTGAATTGGAGCCACCCAAACATTTCTTGAGCCTCACAAACAATAAATGCAATGTACTACATAATCTCAATGTAAAGATTGAGTGGGTATTTTTAACCCTTGGTTAACCCAATTGATTCACCTTATAATTAATGCATTGTACTACAAATCTTAATATTGAGATTGTGTGGTATTTTCAACCTAGGTTATTCTCTCCTTTATCCAATATAAATACCCAAGCAGGGGATGACCACAACATACCACAAACCAGTATTCAGCAGCTGTATTTTTAAGTTCAAAAGTTCAAAATCAGTGCAATGGCAACCGCTTCATCAGCACAAGGGATGTGGTCCTTGCTCAAGGATATCGATCACACAAAGACGACCTGGGCAATCAAGGTTCAGGTAGTTAGGGCATACGAAGTTCCTCCACACTCTAAGGGCGGGGAGACTCTTGAAATGGTTTTGCATGACGCAGAGGTATGGTTTGTAACATCTAACTTCTATGGCGTCTTTTGCTCAACTTTTCTTAATCCAATTTAAATTCTTACTAGGGAGATCGGATTCACGCCATTATCAAGAGGCCGCAGATAGCAATGTATAAGCCTAATATTACAGAGAAGAAAATTTATGCCATAAGAAACTTTTTGGTGCTTGACAATTACCAAACAGTGAAGACTACAAGTCATCCCTACATAATTCAGTTCATCTCAAAAACCCTGTTGAGGGAAGATACGAAGACGGAAATGCCTATGATGGTCTATGATTTTTAGCCTTTTGATATGCTGCATGCCCAAAGAGTTATCAACGACAAAACTCTAATTGGTGAGTTAGAGTCAAATTTTTCCATACTACATTGCTTGCACAAATATCCTAATTACAGTTTCTATCGTTTAATTATGAAGATGTCATTGGGAAGGTTCTGTCCAAGAGCCTTATCCAGACCCACATAATCAACGGGAGGACTGATAGGCTAATGGAGTTGACTTTGACAGACCCGGAGTAAGTTTTACAACTTAAACGATTTTAGCAAAACAAAAGACACATGGTCATTGACTGAAACTTTTCTGAACTACAGGGGTAACAGATTGGGCGCCGTATTGTGGAACAAGTACATAAACCAGTATCTGGATTATGTTAATGCTAATGAAGGAGTGCCTGTCTTCGTGATATTTCAACTATGTAGGCCAAAAAGATACCAAGGTTTAAGAAACTTAGCAGCATTCATTATGTAGTACACAGTAGCCAAAGCTTATGGTAGTGCTGTTTTAAACACAGGGATCTTGACAGTGAATTCGTCTTTTGATGTATCAAAGCTCATAATCAACGGGAACACTACTGAGTTTTTAGAGTTCCAAAGCGAGTATGCGTATTAAATCTCCTAAAACTAAACTCTGACTACCCAATTTCATAAAAAAATCTCCTAAAACTCAAGTATCCTAGAACTAAAGTCTGTTTACCATGCAATATACAGGTTTCCAGCAGATGGTGATGACACCACGACTCAAACCTGCAACACGCAATGCTCACATGCGGAAGGGAGGGATGATATACTCGGTGGAAATGCTGTCATTACCACCATGGAGGATTTGATGAAGGCAACTGAGGTGTGTCCTGAAGCTAGAGTCATAGATTTCGCATTTTGAATAAATATATATTCACTGCTAATAAGAAAATTATACTTGGATAGGAGAATGTTTATTGGGTACTTGCTGAGATAGTTTCTATAGAAAACTATCGAGAATGGTGCTACCTAAGTTGTCCGACATGCCACAAAAAATTGCAACCAGAAGAGGAACGGTTTAGGTGTACAACTTGTAGCATGTCAATGGCAGAAGGAGTTTATCGGTTCATTACTTAACCTAATGTGCTTCTATGGGTGTAGGATGTTCACGTTTTTATTTTAGTAATAAAAATTGTTACTCTGATGATTCAGCTACAAGGTCAGTGTGTGTATTATGGACAACACAGGGTATGGAAACTTCATGTTATGGGACAGGGAATGCATAGAAATTCTGGGTAAAACTTCAGCAAGTCTTAAAGCCGAGGTGGAGAAGGTAACACAATAACCCGTTAGCAGTGTTTACTTTATCAGACCTTCAATCAATTATGGATGGGCTAACCACATAACTTGGAAAACACAGAAAACCGGGGATCCAAGTCGCTTTCCGAAAGACATTGAAAACTTGGTTGATATAAAGGGAATTTTCAAAATACAGCTAAGGAAGAAGAAAGGTGAGGAAACTGCCTATAATGATGGGATTTCTCTAGGGGTAGTCAGCATCATAAGAGATCCTAATGTTATCTCGATGTATGAGAAGAAAGAGCACTTGGAAACAAATGAAATTGATGAGAGTACACCAAAAAAGGTATTTAGAAAAATTATTAATTTGTGTATTTGGGCCTTGAATAAATAAAGATGACAACTAACTTAAAATCATTTTTTTGCAGATTGGTTCAAATGCAAATTTAGGAGAAACCTCCATCAGAGAAAAATCAACTGTCAGTAAGGGCAAGGGGAAATGAATTTCGGCAGAAAAGGAGGTAAGCGATCGACTGTTAAGAGGTATATAATATTTTCGTACAAAATTCTGTAGAGGGTTCACTAAACAGCTATATTACTGCTAGGTTTCTGCACCAATTGAGCTTCCCGACACACCTACGGAATGTACCCAAAGGGAGGTCAATGTTGAATTAAATGAAGAGGTCAAAAGAAACTTGAATGATGAATTTTCAAGCACTGGGAATGGCAAGAAGCTGAAGATCAAAATCAAACAGGAACCGCTCTAGAGCGGATTCAGTTCATGAATAACATTGATGATATTTTGTTGGCACCTACTATGGTGTTTATTGTTATTTGAAAACAGTTTCATGCACACAACGTATGCCTTCTCTTTTTGGGATAACTGAAAACTGTGTAACAGACCATTAAACCCTACTTTATGACTATTGTGTGGTGTGCTATTATGTTTTGACTATGTTTAGGATGTTTTGTATCTATATTGGGCAGTTTTGCAGGATTTCAGAGAAGGGATATTCCTAAACCATTTAGGGAAGTTTATGCTCCTAATATCTTTGTATTTTATAAACAGACCTTTGTTTTCACACTACCGCTTTACTAATGGTTTCCAAGATGATGAAAAAGTTTTGGGTTAAGAAAAATGCTACCAATGGTGTGAAGAATGGCTTAACTGCTAGACGAGAGCATGGGATGGTGTGAATAAACGATTGTGTGGTGTGCTATTATGTTTTAACTATGTTTAGGATGTTTTGTATCTATATTGGGCAGTTTTGCAGGATTTCAGAGAAGGGATATTCCTAAATCATTTGGTGAAGTTTATGCTCCTAATATCTTTGAATTTTATAAACAGACCTTTGTTTTCAAACTAAGGCTTTACTAATGGTTTCCAGGATGATGAAAAAGTTTTGGGTTAAGAAAAATGCTACCAATGGTGTGAAGAATGGCTTAACTGCTAGACGAGAGCATGGGATGGTGTGAATAATGGCTTAACTGCTAGACGAGGCATGGGATGGTGTGAATAATGGCTTAACTGCTAGATTTACTATGAAACATGTAAATGTGTAAACTCTAAGAGGCATTACGTAAACAAGTAAATGTGTACTCTTATGATTTCAAAAGTGTAACATTTGGATTGGAAATTCTAATACAAGTGTATTACATTTAAAAATCTATGCAATATTCTTTGGTTGCAATTTGACAATTGGCAATTTGATTCAACAACTTGCATAATTTTAAATAACCAAGTGAGGTAAAGAAGTTCATACCTTAGTCTTTTGCAGAATGGAGGGTTACCTGCAATCCCTATTTACTAAATAATATTACAAACCTTTTAAATTTTACATAAATGGCAACCTTCTAAGGTCCCAGAACTATTCCTATTACAATTTTCTAGATAGCGTTTTTAAACCTGTTCAACCAGAAAATTACACTTGTCAAAACGTATTAAAAGAGTTATTATTACTATGAACACACTCTTGGATAAAAGTACAAATAAGTTTAAAAAAATGTCTGTTAGAAAGTAAAATTTTGGAATATTTTAGTACATAATGTTGCAATATCAAACATGAAGTAAATTTTAGGTATTAAAGCTTATTCGAAATTGTTATTCAAAAATAAAAACTTGGTTAGCCATTGCTAAGAGTTATTATTATAAATCAATACACTTGGGAGTTGTGGTATCTTTGACAAAATTGGAAAATAGAAATCTGAAATTAAGTCCAATTTTTGGGAATAAAAATGTGGTAATAATATTTGCCCAAAATGTCATTGAAGTGTTTGTATTTTGAAATTCTTCAAAAATAGAACCATGTCTAAGTAAATATATTTAGTATGGAATGATGTCAAGTGACAAGTAAATATTTGTAAAGATGTCAAAAGCTTGAATATAATAGAAATTTAACCAACATGTGAAAGGGATGTTTGTTTCTGAATGGTATGGAAAGATATATTTAGTATGGATAAAAAGATATGAGAAGTACATGATTCCACTTAGCATTTTGGGCATGTCTATTTCGGCCATATATGTATCCCAGGTATTTTGGGTTTCAAATACGTGAGTTTTAAAAAGGTCTTACCCTTGAAATAAATAAATTAAATTAAATTGAATCAATACATATCCAAAGGAATACTGAAAAGTAATAAAAATATATTTATGCACGAAGTGCAAATGGATTTAGCAGAATAATAAAAGATATTTATTGTAAAAGTTTATAAAGAGTATTTAGCAGAATCAAGATCCAAACCTGCCCAAGTTCCCTGTGTACTAATGAAGGTACCAACTTCCAATGTTGGAGATTGTGTGGCCCAAGATATTTATTGTAAAAGTCAAGAGAGCATTAATGAGTAGTATAATAGATTTAAAACTTTGTACTTTAAAAACACATTATTTCTTGGGAGCTAGGTTATATATTTTTACTTAAAAAATAAGGGACAAAATATATAAAAAACATTAAATTGTTTTCAAATAATCGGAAATTATTTTTGGAAAAGTATTCAAAAAATTTGAAAATAAATTTTAGAAAAATAAATTATAACGTGAATATCAAAAAATTATTATAAAATATTCATACAACAAGTTGGTTTTAATTTATTTGATGTAAAAGTTTATAGAGTATTTAGCAGAATCAAGATCAAAACCACCCAAGATAGTTGTGTACTTGAAAGCTGCGGGCAACTAATGCAAGCAACAACTTCCAATGTTGGAGATTGTGTGGCTCAAGAGAGCACAAATTTAAAACTGTATTTTAAAAACACATTATTTTTACTAAATAAATAAAGTACAAAATATATTAAAAAAATAAAATAATTTCAAATACGTAACAATTATTTTTGGAAGTGTATCCCTAAAAATTTCAAAATAAATTTTGAAAAAAAAATTAAACGCGAACACTAAAAAACTATTAGAAAATATTCATAGATAACAAAATAATTAAATCTGCACGTTTTTAAAATTTGGGGCTGTGCTTAAAGGTAATCATGACATATGAACAAAACCGTTCATTAAGTACAATGGTTAGTAGGGTTCGAAACAGTGAAGGGGCAGTCATTATTGTAAAGCACTTGAGTATCACTACTCAAAAATATTAATACAACACAGTGTATTAATTCTAGGATGGAATGTAGGTCTGCTGGAATTAAATGAAGATGTACAACAAATATTATAAAATATTCCAGAAAGGTAACTTACCAATATTGTAAAGTGAGTGGATATGTAACTTCGAATGCATTTACTCCATGCTCAGAAGCTCATGATAGTTCTGAACTGGAGCCACACAAACATTTCTTGAGCCTCACAAACAATAAATGCAATGTACTACATAATCTCAATGTAAAGATTGAGTGGGTATTTTTACCCCTTGCAACATTAAATGCAAAACCGTTCATCAAGTACAATGCCCGTTCATCAAGTACAAGGGGCAGTCATTATTGTAAAGCACTTGAGTATCACTACTCAAAAATATTAATACAACACAGTGTATTAGTTCTAGGATGGAATGTAGGTCTGCTGGAATTAAATGAAGATGTACAACAAATATTATAAAATATTCCAGAAAGGTAACTTACCAATATTGTAAAGTGAGTGGATATATAACTCCCAATGCATTTACTCCATGCCCAGAAGCTCATTTATGAGCTCAACCAAAAATTCTAACAATTGAAACTGTGAGAAAGGCTCAAGAATATATACGACCAGTGCAATTGAGTGTGAAGAAAAGGTATGTTTCATAACTCATTATTGATAATGCTATATGAAACTATGCAATGAACACTAATACCAAATGCATTTAAACTGATTACAACACTTAAAATCCTTTTATTTGTAAAAAATAATTGTATTTTTTTTCTTTGTAATGAAAGATGAGAAGCTGTTCATGCAACAAATGTTCTCAACCAAAATGTCATACATGTGGACACTATCCTGGACTCTCTTGGTTGCAACCATGCTCTTTGTGTAATGGGAATTTAAGTCACTTTTACTGCATGAGGCCAGTAAACAAAAATAGGGGTACTGGCAAATACTTATGCAAAGATTGTCAAGAATGGTTAGATGCAAGACCAATGATACCTAGAAGATCAGTGCGGACAGTCACACTTAATCAGAAGTACTTCAATGAAAAACTTTGTGTGGGGATGAATTTTATTTGGCTTAACTAGGAATGACCTTAGTAATGCATTTATATGATTAAAATATGCATATGTTTTTGCTGGATATGTTAAAG